TTACTCAACTAAATTAACAACTGGGAACATGTAAGTGTGGAACAAATAAGAGAGATGGCTGAAAAAGCTCTACGCGATCTTAATCGGTTATTGACCGATCATAAAGAATCGACTACGAAAAGACTGGAAGAAATTTCTTCTCAATTAAAAATAAGAAAAGAGGCCGATGATTACTCAGAGAAAGATTTAAGTGAATGGCTACAGATGCTGGAAAAACTCAAACAACAGCTATTAACACCGTCAAATGTGATGTTGCAGAAAGTGAGTAATGAAATATGGTTGCAACCAATGGTAGTTATGACAGCTTCTCTTAATTCACCAGACAAATTTGACAAAGCAAGTGATAACATTAAAATATTGGAAAATGGTTTCGTTGCAGAACACGATGGAACAACTGATCATGGTGAAGTTCGAGGTTTCAAGACATACTCAACAGGTACACATAAAATTAATTTGAAAATTGAAGAGATGAAAAATAACAATTGGATGTTTTGGGGAATTATATCACAAAGTACTGCAATGCAACACAATTCTTACTCTTCAACATCAGCTAACGGATGGGCGAAGAATCCTAAACAAGTCTATTTGAATGGTGTAAACAATGAAGGGTACAATAACTATCAGGCTGACATTGTTAAAAATGATATTCTTCACCTAACACTGAATTGTGACAGTCAAATTATCGAACTTGAAAACGAACGAACAAATCAAAAAAATTCTATTCCTATTGACTTAAATCGCTGTCCATTTCCGTGGCAATTACATATTAATTTATACAGCAGTAACGATCGCATCCGCATATTGGAATAGAGGATGGTAGGGATCGGGTGTGGGTGTGGGTGTGAGTGTCGGTAGTACACTGAAAACAAAAATGATACCACACCGAACCCAAAAGGGTTTGTTGGACTAAAAAAAGGTTTCGTACATAGTACGGAATCTAAAAGGGTTTGGATTTCGTTTCAATTCTCTGAACCCTTTTAGGTTTCGTAGATAAAACAAGAAACACATAAAAAAGTACTCTAAGTCTATGGCGATTATTTTCAGGTAACCGAAGTTTTTACAAAACCTTTTTGAGGGTTCCGTATTCATTTCAAAAAGGGTTTGGTAATCATACTAATTTTTTTCTAGTGCACCGAACCATTTTCGAAATAAATACGGAACCCTCAAAATATTTCGTAAAAACTTCGGTTACCTGAAAATAATCGCCA